CCAGAATTCCCCAGCCAGCATGGTTGAAGTCCACTCATCTTAAAGTGGCCAAGTTTGGACAGCACTGATGTAAGGCATTTCATCACTGCCGGCGTGAATCAGCAGGCAACTTCTTACAACCCTAACCTGGGTCTAAAGGCTATAGCTAAGACAGTCTGGTTTTTCAAATTTTATTTATTAAAGAAATTACAAGCATTCAGTAACCTTATTGTTGAAACAAAGGCCAAAAGTTTAAAAAAAAACAAACAGGGAGGCTATATTTTTATCAAAATATATGTTTTGAAATTGGCACAGAACTTGAAATTAAAATGTATCCTGAAAAAAATAGGTGAATCCAATTCTCATCTATGAAATAGGAAATTTTAGCATCTGATATTATTTACATGATATACAATTTAAACGTATTAGGAGTCAGAGTCGGTACATTTTTATCGACTCCAGTAATCTGAGAATTGCTTCTGACTCCGACTCCACAGCCCTGGCAGTGCCAACGTTCTGGCCATTTGGAACCATGAGGACTAGAATCTTAACTGTGTTCTGAACAGGGAGGACTGCAGGGGCGAGGGGCAGATTAGGAGGTGGCCGGTCAGAGCGGAGCACCAAACAGCAGGTGTTTCTTTCGTTGGCCACAGGTGACCCAGGGCGAAGGTCCCGCCGAGCAGTTTTCTTGCCCGTTTTGCCAAAAAGCGTTTTCCTATCAGCGGATGCTCAACCGCCACCTGAAATGCCATAGCGAGATCAAGCGTCACCTCTGCCCCTATTGCAACAAAGGGTTTAACGACACTTTTGACCTCAAGCGCCATGTTCGGACACACACAGGTGAGCTGACACAGGGCGGCTTGTAATCTGTTCCTCTGGGGCGGAGATCGATCCGGGAATCAGTGCGGGGAAATGCTTCTCATCGCTGCGAGGGATTTGGCCAACGGAGCCGTAAACGGGGTGATATTCCCCTTTAAAAAGCAGGTGTATAACTTGGAGACTTCCTAGACCCACAACTATGGGGAGATAGGGTGGGAGGAGACTGTGTGTTCCCCAGTTACCCCTGATGTACAACGCTGGTACCATAGTGGTTCATGCCGGGGGGGTCTGCCCGGAAGATCACAAAAGTAAAAATGGTGGCTGTGCCCGCATGATCGATCCTCTGTTCTGGTTAAACGTCCGTTCCACATGTGACCCCGTGAGACAATAGTGGTGCTTGATCACACGAGTGCTGTCTGGGTCTTTTGGACTCCCGGGTTGCGCCTCCCGCATCTCCCGAAGTGACTGCCTTTGAGGATGACCTGGAAGGTGCGGTTGGTGCAAAACGCCACAGCCTGTACGGCAGAGCTACCAGCGTCATAGAGTGCCAGGGCTGTGGGCGCTCCTCTGGCTTTGTGGACGTTGCTGAGCCCGATTCAAACGCTGGTGTTGGCCACATGGTGGTGGATTCCCCCCAGGGGAGCCTCCTTCTAGGGGAACTGGCCCACCCGGTGGTTTTGTCTCAAGTTGAGGTGCTGAGAGTCCCCCCACTTCCCCGGGACTGTAAGGGAAGGCAACCCCCAGAGATACATCCATTTCCAACCCTCCCTGTGATTGTACCAAAAAGGAAGTGAAATGGATTTCTCCCAGCGAATTAGTAAGGGGTTGCGGTATGATTTTGGAAGTTTTTTACATTGCTTTTATAGTGTAGAGGGATATGGATATAGCCTTGAAGAAAATATGTAGCCACGGTTAGGAAAACGGGAGTTTAGCCCAGAAAGACAGGGAAGGGTGAGAAAGAAGATCAAGATTGCCTCGTCTTGATTCTCTTTGGTACAAGAGGGAGAAAGGGGGAAATGTCTGGCTTTCAAGATTCTTTATGACAGCCTATATCAGTCAAGGAGAGTTCTAGTACTGCTTGTGGGGTCTTCCTGGCCTGGCCTACCTCGAAGGGCTGGCATGTCGATTTATGCTATTTGTAAGTTCTGGATTTTGTAAACTGCCGAGAGTCCAGGTGGAGTTAGCGCCATAGAGATATTGCAACTGACTGAATGTAAATAGTATGGTGGCGATCCAGTCTTTAGCAAACAACCAAAGTCTCTAAGACAAAACATGGTCTCTTGGGAGGGTTATGTGGACCCCGCAACTGTCCTTGCACAACCCAGGTGTAGCGTGTTGTATGAACTCACCCTGGACCCCTCCTTCTCTCTCCCTGGCCCCAGGTGTCCGCCCCTACAAGTGTGACCTCTGCGACAAAGCTTTCACCCAGCGCTGCTCCTTGGAGTCCCACCTAAAGAAGATCCACGGGGTGCAGCAGAGTTACGCCTACAAGGAACGCCGCGCCAAACTCTACGTCTGCGAGGATTGCGGATCGACGGCCGACAGCCAGGAGGGTCACCTCCGTCACCTGCAGGAACGACACCCTGACAGCCCGTTGCTTCGCAAAGCTTCGCGCAAGGTGGTGACAGCCCTCCACGGTGTCATTGGTACCCCGGCCTTCCTGCAGGGGGGTCGGTCTTGTCCCTAGGCATCGTGGCCTCTTGTGGGGGGCTGATCTTTCCCCAGTGGCTCAGGTTTGGAGGAATCTTCCTTAGCAGGGACCCGCTTGGCTCCTAACTGGAATTCATTCCAAGGGCATTGCTGGTGCTTCTTTGAACTCGGGAAGATGCCTTCTATTTATTCAGCCAAGAACAGAAAATGGGCTGGCTGGATTTTGCAACTGGACTGGCCACAAGATCTGGTATTTTGAAGCCAGCGTGGAAAAAGACACCAAGGAGCGTTCTCAGTGGGCGCTGGGAAATGTCTTAAGATGGATCAGACTTCCGGATAGGAATAAGGTGGCTTTGAACGTTAGAAAGAGCTGTGCTCGGTCGCGTGACAGGCCTAGCCTGGGGGGCAGGAGGATTCTCAAGGGTCATCTAGTCTGACCCCCCTCTGGCCGACGCAGGAAAACAGCACTGGACGAAACTTAGCCTCTGAATTCTCTCTCGGGTGGCGTGACAGGGTCTTTGAATCCTGGATTTTGAATCATTGTCACCGCCCTTTGAATCCATCACAGTTGCCCACCTGTTTCCTTGCACCCAAGCTAAGGACATTGATTGATGGTCTTAAGATTCAGGGAGACTCCTTGAATGTATGGGGAAAATAACTTTCTACGGGTAAATGTTGTTTAGCAGTTGAACCCCCAGTTGAGATGGAGGCTTCCCTTCCCTTCCCTTTCACTGGATGTGTTCAAGCAGAGGCTTGTGGTTTGAGATGCCGTGACTTGGACTTCCACACTGATGGGGGGGGCTACGTGATCTCAGTGGATCTCTTCTAAGCTCTGATTTTTCTGCCTCAAGGCCCAATCAAACTGGTCGGGCCTTGGAGATGTAAGTGCCTCGACGGGCCGAGTTTGAATGACAGCCTCCTTCTGAAACAACGGGGATCTTAGATCGGGGCTAAAATTGGGGGTGGGAGGATGGGGTTTCGAGAGCATCCATCGTGCCCCTCCCTCTTTTCTCCCCCTAATTCAAGCCCTGCCATTCTGGAGTCAGGTGGGTTTTCTTGCAATACCAATGCAAAAGGGGTCTTAGTTATCCTGAGCTGGGGAGACGTAGATTTTGAGTTTTATTCTTTTTTTTTTTAAAGCGATGCAGTATTGGATTGCCGATAGGACCAACGAACTCTCTGCCAGAAGGCTCAGCCTTCCGGAAACCTGGCAGAAACGCGAGCAAGTGCAATTATTTCCAAAGACTATAATAGGAGTATTTTTATTTAATATTATGAACGTGTGAAGACATTGCCGCTGCCCCGGCGTGGCGAGACACCGAAGCTAAATTTGGGCATCTGGTGGAATGGAGGCATTAGCCAAACACCAGGGTGTGGATCTTGTTTACATATTATTCGTCTTTCCTCTGACTTTGGGGGAACAAGCTGGGCCTGTGAACTTTTAATGTTATTATATTATTCATAATCTATTATTCTTCCCCCTCCCTGTTAATTAAAATAAAGGAACTGGATTCTCTGTGTGAGGCTGTCACGGTGCACATCATTTGAATTTCAAATGTGTGTCTCGGATGAGACCTAAATTGACTTTAGGAAGTTCAGGAAAACAGCTAACCGGGAGCCAGTGAGCTGGGGTTGGGTGCCAAAGCCATTCCTTAGAAAATTATATCCAAGATTTATTTACATTTCTCGTTATTTGGGGCTTGGCCGGAAAATCTAGTTGCTGACCCCGGCCCTCTCCCTTTTAAGCGTCGGTGGCTAGATAAGGCTCGGAAAATGAGCGCCATGTCAAACGTCTATCCTGCGGGTTTTCTCCATTTGTTCACCTGCAGTTTGATGGATGTGATCCTCTTTCACGTCTTTGAAAAGAGAAGTTACACAGCCAGCGGGTGTGAATGTACGATCTTGCCTTGCACGATCTTCTTTTTAGAAATTGGCAGGCAGGCTTCCTGGCTTCCCCCTTTCCGTTTCATCCCACGGGAGAATTAAAAGCTCGCTTTATTTCCTGATTGAGAAATGTGCGTAGCTAGAGAAGCGGCGAAGCGGTGGACGGCGATCGAGCCGAAAGTAACCTGCGTTCCCTCCTGTTTCTGAACCATTCTAGAAAGCGAAGCCAAAACCATTGAGTTTAAAGGCACGCGTGTATGTATATAAAATTCTACACAACGGTTGCAATAATTTTTTTTTTTAGAAATCTACTCCGGCTTTGAAAGTGGAGGAAGCAGCCGCGTGTCCAGCGATCCAGGTTTGGCGCGGAAAATTTCAGAAGTGGGCGCAAGGCGTCTCCCCAAGTTTTTGCTGACCTGATCCAACATGTTTTGTGAATGCAGAGCTCGGCCTGACGCAGCCGCACTGCACTCGGTGTGTGAATCAGGCCAGAGTGTGGCTTTTGAAACTCAACACACACAGCGCTCGGCACGGGGCGCGAGTTCAAATCCTTCCTTGGGTGGTTGTGATGATAAAAGGGGTTGCATGGTTTATACATTCTCAGAGCAGGAGAGGGCACTGTTTGGCTTGTCAGAATCTGTTTTCGAATGGAATTCCACAGTTTATCCTCCCGACGGAGAGGAAAATTGCCCTCTCAAACTGGCTTTGCACAATACACTTAACCCAGGTCAGTAATTAACCCAGTGGCTGCTTTTGCACAACGGGCTAAGTTTAATTAGTTTTAATTTTTTGTTTTTCGAGGGTTGTTTTGCAAACCCATCGTGCTTCTGAATCCTGTTCAGGGTCTCGTGCAAACTAAAAAAAAAGGGATGAATTCAAGAGTCAGATTCAATCAAACCAGACATGGATTAAGTCAGAACTTGAATTTCAGATTAAGCACGGTTTCCTCTGATTGAGGGTTTGTTTTTTAGCACCATGCTGAAAAAAGACAGGGGGGTGAAGGCGTTGGAGAAGGAATAGGCAGACCTGGGTTCTAGTTCTTCCCCAGCCACAGAAGCTCCCTGGGAGGCTTTAGGCCAATCCCTCTCTCTCAGCCCAGCCTACCTTATAGGGTTGTTGTGTAGAAAAATAGCCCATCCATGCTGCCTTAGGCTCAATCAACTGGGATGTCAATCGAGCAATCAATACAAAGTCTTTTTTCTGTTTATTCCAGGCCTTCATTTCAACAGCCAGGTTTTATTGTTATTGTTAAACAACTGAGAGTTGGAAACTGGCTTGTCTATGAACCATTGCTCCAACGTTTGACTCGGTTGGACTTCCTGCCCCGCCGGGGAGAAACTAAGGACGTGAATTCCATCTGAAGATCTTGCTTGGGGTCAGGATAATTCTTGGCACACCCAGGGTTTGGTTAGATTTTGGCATAAACACATCTAATGAAGTGGAAAGCAAGAGACAACAGCTTAGGTAATGCTAGATTTATTAATCTGGAAGGTTCATTAGCCTTTTAACAGACTTGTTGTCTGAAATATCCGCGGTGGCCACCAGGGGGCGCACAGCGATCGCAGGTACTTTATACATAATCTCGAATGGAAATTTTTCATCGACACTAACCTAGTTTCGAAATTGAAGCGCATACAAAAATTGCAAATCTCAGATGAAGCTAGGAGAGGCCTGCTGGTTGAAGATCCCCTCTTCTGATGCATAACAGCTAAGAAATCAGGTCCTGCTTCTAAAATACTTATGAGTTAATTATTAATTTAATAACCTAATTTAATAATCTAATCTTATTAGTTAATCTAACCGTTCCTGCAAAGCATCAGATAAATAGTCCCCCCACCCCCA